ATACCGGAAAAAATTGGGGCTTACTATGCAGTGGGCCTGTTATTTGCCCAGAGCAAAAAACAGATTTGCTTTCTGCAATGCAGCCTATTCACTGACCCATCCAAGCCTGCTTGCTGGACAGTAAAGGAGCAGCGGCCTAATGATGAGGTGACTCCTGTGCTCTCCTGCCCTACAAGCATGTCGAGAGTGTAAAGCTGCCCATAAACTCGTAAAATGTTGCTCCAAAGTGGTCATTTTCAACACGTTTGTTAGATTTTCTAATGATAGTATGGTCAAATTGCCAATCAATATCTACTGCAGTTATGTGGAAGGTTAGACATGTTTCCGTGTGCATGGGTTTTTTTTTTTCTTTTTTATCTGATTGAACTAAACTAAATCAAAGAACATGATTCTTGTTTGGATTCACATTTACTTCTGTTCACCCCCAAATCTAATGTTAAAATTCCCAATATTGTCATGGCACTCAATCCAAAGTTTTCAGGGCTTTCATAGGAAATTTTGTATAGTCTCTGGTATCATATAAAGTTCTGAGGAACAATCCTTGTGGGAATTCTTGCATCAAAACCTAATGTTGGGTACACAAGTAGTTGTGGTGTTTTTTTTCTTATTTGCTTGGGCAAACCACCAATAGAGAAATGCTTTTTCTGTCAATCACAGATCTTTATGCAAAACCCTCAATACACCAAAATAACAGCCTCACCCCTCCCGAAAAGGTACCTATGATTGAGAATGAAACTTTACAGGGTTACATTAGGCTGGCCCGGTACTTGGAGGTAGATATGAATAAACTCTAATGAACTCATGTCTGTGACTTGTACACTTACAGCTTGCAGTGTGATAAGTAGCTTGTTGTCATCAAACATCTCTGGTTGGGTGTAAAGGCGGGCGCCATACTGCCACCGAGAAAGACCGTCAAGTTTCTACTTGTTGATGTCTGAAGTGTAACCTCACCGTGTGCCGCCACTCTTTCATTTATGGCTGCTAACCTCTAAAAAGGGAAGACACACCTCAACATAGAAAGCTTGTGTGTGTGTGTGTATATATATATATATATATATATATATATATATATATATATTTTATTATATTTATTTTTTATTTTTATGAATCTTTTGTCTAATTTTCTTTTGATGTCCAGTGTGATTTTTGCAATGTGCATTTGAGAGTTTAAAAAAGTAAAGGTGGTTTTTTTTTTGGTGTGTTGGTTTAAAGTGGAACCACTCCTCTGCATAGACACCATCTCCTAATCCTTTGGCTCTCCCCTTTATAGTGCTGTGAAATGCGTCTCCAGCTTTCTGTGACACTTCTCTGTATAATAATATTCCTTTCAGTTAGCTCATACTGAGGGGGCTTGTTTTCTTGTTGTTGGACAGTGAAAGTGCGTGTGGATTCTTGAAATGTCAGGGAGGAAAGCATTGTTCTGAAACTATTTCATAGATGAGTTCAAAATGTGACAATGTGCCCATGGGGGGCAAGGACTGGTGGGAAGGGTGTAGGGGTCTCCAGACTTTTCAAACAAAGGGCCATTTTACTGTGCTCCAGACTTCGGGGGGGGGGGGCGGATTGTGGCCAGTCGGGGTAGAAAATATCCCAGGCCCAGCATCAGTGAGAATAAACATGGCCTCAGGGCTGGCGGTCAGTAATGGTAGTAGCAGTAGTGCCTATCATTGGTATAAGTGGGAGAAATCGTGCCCCATTTTTGCTGTCAGGAGGAATATTGCTTCATATCATTGGAAGGAATAGTGCCCTCAGGGCCAGATGAAGGCTGGTTTGGAGATCCATGGTCAATTGCAATGTGCTTTTTGGCATATTTGTTACAGCTTATGGCTACCATAGCAGGGGCATTTATAGATGCCTTCATACATGTCCAGATGCTGCTTTGAGCTCCCATCTTTGTACTTATTTTAACTTCTTTGGATCATTTGCCTTTGTATGGACATTTCCATCACAGATTTGAACTTTTAAACCCCAGTTGTTCATTACTGGAGGCATATGCACATATCTTTAATCTGAGAGTGTTGGGTTCGTAGATGTATATTCATTGAAGTACAGGCGTGCCTCGGTTGATCTAATTTTCGGTTTATGAATGAAAATCCATTGAAATAATGCCTCGGTTTACAATTTTTTTTTTTGCAATACGAACGGATTAATTGGTTTTCAATGCATTTACACTTTTTTTTCAATCATGTCTCTGTACAGTACTATGCCTTTTAAAGTGCACTTTATAAAATAGAGTTTTGAACAGAAGACTTTTTTACTTTTTTCTGACCTCCGGAGCAGATTAATTGGTTTTAAATGCATTTACAAATTTATTTTTAATCATGTCCCTTTATGCCTTTTTAAAGTGCACTTGATAAAGAGATTTTTGAACGGATAAAACTTTTTTGACTTTTATTTGACCTCCAGAACGGAACAATTGGTTTTCAGTGCATTCCTATGGGAAACAGCTAGGATATCAGCGAGCGCTACCACAAAGATTAGCCGCTGGAACACCAAAAGGCAACCAAAACAATCCTTCCAATGTAAATAATAGAAAAATAGGTGCAGCGCTAAAATAAAGCAATATGCATTTTAAAGTGCAAAGTGATCATCAGTAGCATAATCATGGAAATGCAAACATAAATATCAATCTTAAATATATAAAGTGCGAAGAATAGATGAAGTGACTAAATGAGACAGGAATAATCTAATGCGTGTTTTAAACGCACTTCTGGTGAGTGCGCATTTTGTTAATTTAGTCACTTCATCTGTCACCCCTGGATCAGTGGCCCATGCAAGCTGTTTGTGATCTGGAAAGGATCCTTTCCTTTATCTTGGGACATTTCGGCACTACCATTGTCACCTTGGAGTGATATTCTTCGCACTTTATATATTTAAGATTGATATATTTATGTTTGCATTTAGATGCTTATGCTGATGATCACTTTGCACTTTAATATGTATATTTTATTTTAGCGCTGCACCTATTTTTCTATTATTTACTATGGGAAACAGCGTTTCGGTTTATTAATTTTTTGCAATATGAAAAGTCCCGCAGAACACATTAAATTTGTAAACCGAGGTATGTCTGTATTTTTGGAGATAGACGAAATACAAAATTGGAAAAATGCTGGAAATACTTTTTATATTTAACAAGAAGGCCTTTAGGTGGTGGTCTAGCAAACCCTATCCTTGAGATGAGCATAAAAAAAATCTTGTGTTTTAGATTTTTATTTTATTTTTTTTTTATGTTTAAGTTTGTGTCCCTCCTAGAGAGTCTCAATAAATCACAGTGTTGTATTGTGCCGTGGTCAGTTTTATTGAAGGTAGGAAGTGCAAATATTTGTGTTAGCTGGTGACACAGAAGTCATTCCAACAGACTCGCATTGTGAGTGATACGTTCTTATTGTGCTCTGCCTTTGTACTTGTAAACCTAGACCTGGAAAGTCCTCACAGAACTGAAGCTTAGTGTGGTCTCTCAGGCTGGACTTACACAGGAAGTTTTTTGATTTGATCAGTTTAACCAATAGTTTACCACAACAATGCAATTTGAGGATCATTCTGTTGGCTAAGGGTATTTTGTAACCTCCCCATACAAGTGCAGATATGTGTTGATTGTTTATATACGGTTTTGTGAGTTGGGGTCTCCATCAATGGGATTTCGGCTTGTGTTGATGGTATTAGTTTGAGACACTTCTGTGATTATTCAGAATTCATTAACCACTGAGAGGATTTACCCCCCTTCCTGACCAGGACATTTTTTGCATTACGGTGCTGTTATCTTAACTGATAATTGCACGGTCATGCAACGCTGCACCCAGATAACATTTTGTCCTTTTTTTTATTTCCACATATCGAGCTTTCTTTCGGTGGTATTTGATCACCTGTGCATTTAATTTTTTGCGCTATAAAAAAAGACCAACAATTTTGAGAAAAAAAAAACAATATTTTTGACATTTTGCTATTAAACCTGTCCAGTTAAAAAATTGAAAATGGCAAATTTTCGGCATAAATGTAGGCCATAATTTATTCTGCTACATGTCTTTGCTAGAAAAAAAATCCCAATACATGTAAATTAATTGGTTTATGTGAAAGTTATAGCGTTTACAAATGGCGGTATAGATACTGGAATTTTTTTTTTTAATTTTACTAATAATGGCGGCGATCAGCGACTTACAGCGGGACTGTGGAGGGCATTCTGACACTGGGGGGAACTGACTTGGTGTCGTTGACATCCCCAGTGACACCAATACAGTGATCAGTGCTGAGAAAAAAATAAGCACTGACACTGTACTAATGGCATTGAGAAGGAAGGGGTAACCATGAAGGGGCGATCAAAGGGTTAGCTGTGTGCTTGGGAGTGTTTTACTGGGGAGCTGTGTGTTGGTGCTTCACTGTAAGGACACTGCTCTGGATGACCGTGCTGTGCACAGCCATCCAGAGCAGAATGCCCCAGCTGACAGGGAAGAGGACTGTTTAGTAAACAAAGCAACCCTCCTCCCCGTCGGAGATCCTCAATAATAACTGGCCAGAACCCAGTGACTGACAGCCATGGCTGCAAGTGGCTGCGCGGGTAGGGCGCGTGACCCCTTACCAGTAAATGCGAATTCACGTGTCTATGTGTATTTATATATGTGTGTGTGTCTGTGTGAGATTTTGCCCAGCCCTGCAGCTGTGTATCTGCTTTAGAGTGGCGGGGATGTGGTTATTAAGTACATTTGAGCTGCAGTTGACCTCCATCCTGCCTGCTTTTGATCTGCTTTCCCTGAGTCTTATGGGTAGACGAAGCCTAATTTGAAGTGAGCAGTTGGCCATCAGTACAAGCCAATACACAGATAACAAGCTTGTGTTGCTTGCTTTTATGTGGGCTGTTTTGATAAGTGTTTATAGGACTCTAAGGACCATTTGTTATGCTGCTAATTTATTCTCAGTTTTCTTTGCAATAATAAGCAATTTGCTTCTTGTTTTACAGGTCTGCATTGATCAAGCATTGCTGACACTGACAACACAAGGTAGCAGCCATGCAGACTATTAAGTGTGTGGTCGTTGGTGATGGTGCTGTGGGTAAAACCTGTCTCTTAATTTCATATACCACAAACAAGTTCCCATCAGAATATGTACCAACGGTAAGTACTGTTCACCCTTTCAGGTGCATGCTGCAGCTTTGTAGCCTGCATTTGTCTGACCTTCATCACCATCTGTGTCTCCTGTTTTGCTGTTGATGTACACTGTGAAAGCTGTTTCTTCCGCCTGTTCTTTCATCCTGATTCCCCTATCTTGCTGTGTTCATGTACAGATGGCTGTCTCCTTCCTACAGACCTTTTCCAGAGCTCACCAGAATCAACTAAGCCAGGCAACGCTCATTATGCATGCCCATTGTGGCCTATGTCACATTGGTTTTGTAGCAGTTACAAAAATTGCATTCCTAAATGCGTTGTGATCCTGTTGCTTGTGACATCTTGGTCTTGACGCAAGTACCAGAACAATGAAAACACGCTTTTTGAAAAATTGCTCCATCGCTAACCATATGAGCAGTACGTCACTTATTTGCTGATGGAAATGTTGTGAAATGTCACTCATTTGCCGGCGAGCAATATTTTGATCATCCAGCCAGTGAAGGAGTGTCTTGTGCAAACATATTGGCGTTTATCTGCCCAGCCCCATCCTGCAGTTTTTGTCAGTCACTTGGTTACAAGTGTGACATGGGTCTTAGCAGTGGTGTTCCCAGAAAAAGATACAGGTGTGCCCCGGTTAACGTAATTTTTTCGGTTTACGAATGAAAATCCATTGAAAATAATGCCTCGGTTTACAAATTTTTTTTGCAATTCGAAGTATATGTCGGCGCCAATTTTTAAATGTAATTGCCGGCTTTTTTTTTTCTTCACTATAGCTCAAAGAATTAGCTGTCACTTTCCCTGAAGCTAAAGGATACTTTGTTTCTTTTATCTCAGGAAACAAACTAAAAGGAAACATTGTTTTAACTCAGAAATAAACTAAAAGGAAACTGTTTCTTTTAGCTGGGGGGAAAGTAACAGCTGATTCTCTGAGCTATTGTGAAGGGAAAAAAAAGCCGGTAATTACATTTAAAAACTGGTACTGACCTGCATTCCTATGGGAAACCGCATTTCGGTTTACAAATTTTTTGCAATACGAAACGTCCCGGAGAACGCATTAAATTCGTAAACCGAGGTACACTTGTATATTCCAGCAAGCGGTTGTAAAGGCTAAAGCTTATTTACCTTCATGAATTCGCTGTATTAGGGTAAAAACCTTACAGTAGCAGTGCCCCCCAGCCCCCCTCCCTAACACTTACCTGACTTCAGTCCTGTCTCGATCAGTGTTTTGATTGGCTTCAGTTCTCTTTTTCTTTCTCCCTCTGCATTCTCTCACAAGCTCAGCTGAGAGCAGTGAGAGCCATTGGCTGCTGCTGCTGTTAGGCAGATAATGAGGAGGGGCGGGGCTGAGCTGCGCTGTGTGTGTCTATAGATGCATACAGCCTAGCTTTGGGATCGAGCCTGCACGAGTGCTTACATAGGGAGCTGCTTCCTATGGGGGTGCTTGCCAAAGAGGAGCAGCGTTGGTGGGAGACCCCAGAGGATTAGGTTCAGGACCACTCTGTAAATCATTGCGCAAAGCAACTACGTATAACATGTTTTGTTTTATTGTTTTTTTTTTAAAATGAGTCTTTACAGTCACTTCAAGCCCTTTATAGCTATATGTTTGTTGGCTTTTTTTCAGCATTTAGAGCTAGCTACAGAATTGTCTGCTTTAATGACTAATCATCATTTCCAAGCAGCTGCTGCTGATCATGGCATACTAGCAATATGTAGCTGTAGGTAAGCATTTCATTGCCAGCTACAGCAGCAAGTCTGTATCCAGCCAATCGCCTGAGAAAAAGAAAAGCACAAATATTTGTAGTAGCTGCAAATCTCCTACTACAGAGTCTCTAGTGTGACATGGCCCTGAGTCAGATATCCGATGCTCATTCACTGAAATAGTGTATGACACTGATCACAAAGCCTCTGTTGACATAGAATGGACCTGGATTTGGATATTTGAGAGAATATTGTGCTGATACCTTGTGCTGCTTGTATAGCTGAACTAAAATGTGTGGGCTGTCATTACTGATCACTTGCTGTAGTGGGATAGAGTAGGATATGGTAACACCCTTGTCATTTTTTTCACTTTTGTGTCCCTGGTCTGTATAAACCACAGGAAGTGAAAGGAAATCTTTCCGCAGTGAACAAAGTACCCCTGTAGACAGTTGTCACTGAAACGTGTGTTCTCTATTTCTTTTCTGATGAGAATTCAACATTTTTCTAGCAATGATCACTTGGACAAATAGAGTTGGTTTTCCTAACAGGGACAGAAATATCATTAAAAAAGCAAAACAAAAATCTGTCAGTTTTGTTCTTTTCGCAATCTGTCCAAACAAAAACAGATTCACTTTGGATACAGCTTAAAGGGGTTCTGTAGCAATTTTTGGAAAAAATGTCCACATTTACATATGACATCATTAGCTTAAAGTGTTACTAAACCCCGGACCCTGCATTCACTATATCTGGTCTCCCACAGCACGCACAACATGGAAATGCAATTATTTTAGTAAATATAAACTGCTAAATACCTTTTCTCATCAGCAGTTAGAGCAGTCTTGTGACTTCTGTCAGTGTCTGGCCAAGCACATGTTAAAGCTTGTAGGAGTTTTCATTTTGCCGTAGGAGGATGCAGAATTCCTGACCTTTGTTTGGACAGTGCTGATTGGCCCTGTGCTGATCACATACACTCTCACAAGCAAAAAAAAAAACGCTCTAGCAATACACACCAAACTGAACATGTGCAGAGTGTCTCCTTACAGTGTGTCTTATCAGAGAGATAAGAGGGACACTGGAAGAAGGATCAAAACAGCGTTTTTACACAATGCAGAGGATTAACTCATTAGGTTCCACAGTGAGTATAACACACATGCTTTACTGCATATACAGATAGAGTTTAATGTTGTGGGTTTAGTAACACTTTAAGTAATTGAATTGATTTGTTTAGAGGATTTTAAAAGCAGCCATGAGGCAGCCATGTGTTCTCGTACTCCTCATATGTGCAAGCTGTGCTTCATGCATAGTGGTGATGTGCAGTGACACTGCTACTGCATGGCTTCTTTCCGGCTAAGTGGTTTTATTTCAGCATTTGAAAAACATTGACATTCGTTCTCTTTATAAGTTACCCACGTGTAGATCAATGTACAGCGCGGGTCAGCAACCTGTCGTTCATGATCGACTGGTAGATCGGGAATACTTCTCTGCTTTGCTGACCCCCGCTACTTCGGTGGCCGTCCTCCTTCTTTGCCATGCTCATCCTTCCTCACAGCAGAGTGGAAAGCAGGAGGCTACACAGCTCTGGACAGAGGGTGGGATTTGATTGGTTGCTAGGACATGAGGCTATCATAGTATTGAAAGTTAACTTCAGCAACTCCCGCTCTCATCCTCCATCTAGAGCTGTGCAGCCTCCTGATCTGCACTCTGTGTACACCTATGTTGGTAACTGATTAAGCGATGACACTGCTGTGAGGTCAGAGGAGCAGAGGATGTGGCTATGGTGATGGGGGCAGAGGACACTGTTGTGGGGGTGAGGTGAAAGGTGCATAGGACCCTGCTTTGGGGGCAAGGGGGTTTAGAGGACCAGAGGACACTACTGTGTGTGTGGGAGGGGGTGTGAATGGGGCACAAAGGACACTGCTGGGGGGGCTAGTGGGGCAGAGGTCATCACTGTTTGAGGGGGTGAAGGGGGACACTACTGTGCACAGGACCAGCACCAGCTTAGGTACCTTACAGCACCAGGATTGGTGGGGGAAGGGGGTTGGTAAAATCTGAATCCCCAGTCTTGCAACTGAGGCTGCAGAGAAAGGGATTGGGATCTGTCTCAAAAGTTAGACATCAAGGGGTTTATTTACTAAAGCTGGAGAGTCCAAAATCAGACTCCCTTCTGCATAGAAACCAATCAGCTTCTAACCTCAGCTTGTCAATGAGCTTTGGCAATGAAACCTGGAAGCTGATTGGTTTCTATGCAGAAGGGAGTCTGATTTTGGACTCTCCAGCTTTAGTAAATAAACCCCCAAGGGTCTGTTTAGACCCCTGATATTTCACTAAAGCCCCCCCCCCACAGGACTCCAAAAATGTAAGTAAATTATAAAAAAAAAAAAAAAAAAAAAATGTAAATTTTAATTTTAAAAAACTTCTAAAAAAAAAATCAAAACTGACACCATCTCCTGGCCTTCTGACACTGTCCACTTTTAAGATAGACTGTGGTTTGTGTGTTTTTTTTTTAAATTATATTTTTACAGTAATTTGTTTATATTTTTAAGCTTTCCTTGCTATTTAGTTAGGCCTTACTAGTTGTGTGTGTGTTCTTTTTTTTTTTTTTTTTTAAAAAAAGTCTGCTGAACCCCAATGATCTTTGATTTTTTTTTTCCTTGTTGTTCAGCTCTATCTCCACCTCTGAAAGGTTTCCTACCCCTGATGTACAGCATTGCATATATGTTAAACTATCTAACTTCTTCCTTATGAAAGTATCATACACAGACAAATTTTAATGTAGATGTATTTTTTGTCTTGAGAATTTCAAAGGGAATTTCCTTGCAGTGATGATTTATATTGCTCGCCTTGTGGGAAAATGCCAAACCAAACTTCCCTGAAAGGGGCTGACTGTTGTGTGCCTTCTTATTGTACTAAGAAACAATATCCTTCAGTTGCTGCGTTTGGTTGAACACAAGTCATTCCAGAAATACAGAGGCCATACAATGACATCATTCACAATACACTGTTCATATACACTTCATTCCTCCTTTTGTTGTGTCTGCTGCTTATACTATACAATGAATGGTTGTAACCACTTGTTTTTCCTGTATTGTCTAATTATAACTCTCCCTCACAGGTATTTGACAACTATGCTGTCACAGTTATGATTGGTGGCGAGCCGTACACCCTAGGGCTATTTGATACAGCAGGTAAGTGACGTTTACTTTTTTTTTATTTTCTCTTGAAATTTTTGAAGCAGTTTAATGCATAAAATTGAGCAGCCTGGTGGTGGGCAGCACAGTGGCTAAATGGTTAGCATTTCCGCCTGGCAGTACTAGGGTCGTTGGTTCTTATCCCAGCTACAGCACCACCTGCCTGTAGTTTGCATGTTCTCACTGTGTGGGTTTCCTCTGGGTACTCTGGTTTCCTTCCACACTGCAAATACATGCTGGTAGGTTAATTGGATCCTGTCTAAATTGTCCCTAGTATGTGTATGCATGTTTGAATGTAAGTTAGGGACCTTAGATTGTACGCCCCCTGAGGGTTAGGGACTGATGTGAATGTACAGTATATATGTAAAGCGCTGCGTAAACTGACATTGCTATGGAAGTACCTGAAATAAATATATGTAGCTGGTCACACACATTACTATTTGTGCAAAATCCCTTCAACAAAGTTTTTGTAGTGAAGGGTCCTACCTGGTAGGATTAAAATTGAATTAGTTGGGCCCTCATGCTATGTAGTTGGTAATCTGAGACTATACAATCAGATTGTAATGTATATGGCTATTGTAAACACCTGGCTAAGACCATTTTTATAAAGAATTTGCTCTGTCACATGGACTTTTAACGTGTACAAGACAATAGAACTAAATGACCTGTTCTGAAATGTGGACATCTCATCGTACATTGGGAACAAATATGGGATCTGGCAGGGATGGTCACCTGGTTAGTATTTTTGAGTTAGGATTTATTTCATGCAAAGATGTTAATGTAGTTTTAAGTGAGATTTCTGAGTTCCTTACAAAAATGCAATGGTTTAAGGGTCTGCTACCCAACCCAGCCTTGGTAGTTATGTGTCTGTATAGCATTTGTGGAGGTTATCATTGTATATAAATTTTTTTTTTTTTTTTTTGAGGGGGGTGATTTAATTCTCACATTAAGGGAGAGTAGAATGCTGGCAAAGCACAGTGGAGTGACAGGTATGCTGTGTATCCTAGTACCTGATAAGTGGAAGCTTTCACCTATAGTTAGTCTGTGTGTTTTTAAATCTAGTGGCGAATGCAGGGTCTTTCCATATTTAGAAGCCTTTAAGTGGGCAAACTTACAAAATCTGCAGGGGTATAGAATAATTCTTTTCTCCACAGTATAATTGGATAGATTTAGAAAAGGATCCTACGGTTTACATAGACAGGTGGTGGAGAGATCTGTAGCACAGAGGAAAGAATGGATAGAATGGATGCATCATTGCATCCAAATTTGAAAAGCCCCCACTATAATGTTTTCCCATTGACACAGTATACTGTAAAAATATAATATTTCTTAATCTTTCTAGTTTATAAAGAACTTTTAATGGAAGCTTATTTTCAAAATTGCTTGCATTGTGCAATTAAGGAACAGATTTACGGACTGTTTTTAAGTGCATTAACACACAATGTGCAACCTAGACCTTGAGATCTTCAAAACGTTTTTAGGACACAGTATGCACATATAGTTTACAACTGGTAATGAAGATAGGCCAGCACAGTACAAGCAGTTAATTATGGTAAACATCAACTCCCTCCTTAATGTTACATAAAAGGGGAAGCTCAGCGAAATTTTTTAGCAAGTAAATAGGGAAAGTAGCAGTTTCTAAATATTATTTAAAACGCATGTGAATGGAAACATGTAACAAATATAAAGTAGGCGGCATACCAGTTTGACTGCAAAAGTGGGAATACGTTTGAAATAACATTGTGTATACAGACCCTGTTTGGCGTGAAGTATGCAGAATTATACTAAACCATTTAAACATTCCCTACAGGACAGGAAGACTATGATAGATTACGACCCCTTAGCTATCCTCAGACAGACGTGTTCCTTGTCTGTTTCTCAGTGGTCTCTCCATCTTCATTTGAAAATGTGAAAGAAAAGGTAAGATTATTCATGCAGGTGTTAGAGCTCTTATTCAATGTGCATGTTTGATTGTAGAAGGAAAACAAATTGGCTTAATAGATCCATGAGGTTTACTGAACTTGTATTGCACCAAGACCGTCTACGCTCACTGGCCATTTTAACCCCCGGTTCACATCTATGCAGCTTTGCGGGCTGTGTTTTGCACGGGCACGAGAGCCCATTCATTTGAATGGACTCCCGTGCCCGTGACAGGCAGGGAAAAAGTCCCTGCACTTCTTTGGAAAATGCAGCGCGCACGGGAACTTCAGTTCCCAGTATGGTTGCGTTTTCCAGAGCGGGCGGCGTGCCATTAAAACTAATGGCACCTGCCCGCAGGTCTCCATTTCTCTGTGCGGGTGGTGCGGCTGCACGGATTTTCATGCGGATCCGCAGCGGCACCACCCGCACAGATGTGAACCTAGGGATTGGTACACCTGTTCAATTGTTTGGTAACACAAATTGGTAATCAGCCAGTCACTTGGCAGCAACTCATTTAGGCATCTAGACGTGGTGAAAATGACTTGCTGAAGTTCGAACCGTGCATCAAAATGAAGAAAAGGAATTTAAGTGACTTTGAACGTGGCATGGTTGTTGGAGCCAGACGGCCTTTTCTGAGCATTTCAAAAACTGCTGATCTACTGGGATTTTCACACACACAACCATCTCTAGGGTTTACAGAGAATGCCTTGTTGATGGCAAAGGAGAATTGGCATTCGATTTCAGCTGTAACATTCAGATGGTAGGGTCAGAATTTGGTGTAAACAACATGAAAGCATGGATCCACCCTGCCTTGTATCAATGATTCAGGCTGCTGGTGGTGGTGTAATGGTATGGAGGACATTTTCTTGGCAGTAGCAAGGTGTAACTAATAAAGTGGCCGGTGAGTGTATATTCACTTGACTATGATGACCGCACACTAAAATTCATGAAATTGGACAGAGCCCCACAACTCACAACTGTTGTAGTTTTTTGGTTTAAAGGATAAGTTCACCTTTCGTAATATGTTACATGTTACAGCCATTTTTAGGGTGTAATGTTACGAATGGACAGACCCTCGCATCCCCTGATCCCCATTGTGACAGCTAGTGGGGTATCAACTCCTCTCCGCTAGCTGTCCCAATTAAGATAAATAACGCGTCCGTGCTGGGCATCGCCTGGCTGTGTCACTCATTGACAGTGTTTTGTGCACTGAAAAACCAAAAGTTCCGACAGTCTTTGACAGGTCATTGAGGGGGAGTATCTGCTTGCCCTGCATGGCACCAGCGATTTGCTGATTGCTGGTGCAAAGCTTTAGAGGCTCCAGAAGCAAAAAATTATGGTTTTTTTTTTTTTTTACCTGCAAAAAAAAATTAGTATTTTATTATTTTTTGTTAAAAGGTGAACTTATCCTTTTTAAAATGTTATCTCTTAATGGTTGTACCATGCACTCATTCAGAGCCATTGTTTTTGTAGTGGGTACCTGAAATCACTCATCACTGTCCCAAGACTCCGTTTCTGCTTGTCGGGACACAGATCGACTTAAGAGATGACCCCTCCACAATCGAGAAGCTGGCAAAAAATAAACAGAAACCAATCACTCCAGAGACAGCTGAAAAGCTGGCCCGAGACTTGAAGGCAGTTAAATATGTGGAGTGTTCCGCACTGACGCAGGTAAGAAACCTTAGTAGGTAGTACTTTTTGTCTTGTCCTTGCTGTAAAGTTCATTGTTTTGTCATTGTTTGGGCACAGGTCTGCATATAGAGTCGGTAAGGTGGTGCGAACATCTTTGGTTCATTTAATGCAGGATTTATATGATGGGCTTATTCAGCAAGGTGCAGTAACCCATAGCAACTTGTCAGGTAAACTTGTATTAATTGGACTTCATTAAACTGAAGTTTGATTACTATGAGTTGATGAATTTTGCGCTACTTGACTGAGTAAGATAAATGTATTAAAAAAAAAAAATGATCTAGTACATAATGGCATGTAACACCTAGCAGTCAATACAAACCAAACATACAAAAATAGGTGCGCTACCGTAAACCAAATTTATAAACATGTTGTGAAATGAATGTTCCAAATATAATAATAAAAAAAAAACACAATATATAAAGTCCAAAACAACCAAACTATTCCACTATAAAATTATACGACCCCTTCAGTACACCATTGCAACCAAAGTAAAAGTGCACATTCCAGTGCTTTATTGCCGCTTATCAGTATGGAGGATCTCACTGCTATGAAATCAGCATATGGTTGGCTGTCAAACAGCTATGATGTTTTACTGGTTCAGCACTGTCCAACCACTATCGGCATGAGAGGGACCACTAGCCAGTGTGCGTACCACTTCTCAGGCTCCTCCAGCAATCTTCAAAGTAGTAAAGCAAATAGCAGGGCAGAGCTCATAGTGTAGTATTAACGGGTTCCCACATTTACTTAAATTAAAAGCTACTCCCAATAAGTGCAGGGATTGGCATATAACACGGTTCCAAAACCGAAAGGAAACCAGCGTGCCCGAGGATATCATGGATCAAAGGCTCCGCCCAGCATGTACATGCATGGATCCATTTAACTAGTGTGCAGCTTTACGTTTTACACCAAGCATGTGGTTTATTTTATTGCACAGTTAATACACACTAAATGTCATGGACTGGGCTAATAGCTGATAATTATAAATATATATTTTTTTACATACGTGATTTAATGGTGATTGCATACACTACACTTATCTTCTGTCCTCAGTTTCCCTTTTTATCACCCCTGGAGCATTTGCACTATAAAATAATAGGAATCAGCACATTGCTATATGCTTGAAAGCATAATCCACCTTTTGGCACCATGTTTAATATTACATCCCTATATTGAGGGTGTGAAATGAAACATGATTGCATTCTCCCCCCTCAACTCCATTAATCTGAATCACGAGGTGCTTTTCCCAGAAAGTATAACTGAGGGCAAAACATTTTTTTTTTTTGGACAGAGTGGAGCTGGATTAGAACCCCTGTCATGTCTTTATTGCTGTCTGTGTCCCTGTTAGGGAGATTCACCTCCTCTTTTTCCTGTTTACCATTTATCATTGAAAGTAAAAGAAAATCCAAAATTTTGGGTTGTCCCCAAAGGAGTAATAGAGGGGATATCTTCCAGTGGGGGCCCCAAAGAATTCCTTTAATCTGTACAGGTTTCCTCTCGCTTACTGTTTCAGCCGTGGGAAATCTCTGCAATGGGACACAGATGGCAAAACAATTTTGGTAAGGGTTATAATATTTCCTTACTGCATCCAAAAAAAGAAAAAACGTTTTGCCTATAGTTCTACTTGAAGTGTCCTGTTTGCGTGTAGCTTGTCCCCTCCCACACCGCTCTTCATAGATCACACTTGTAGTCCACTGACTTTTCTCCAGTGCTATAACAGAAGGTCCGTACCTCTGCTGACCCGGGGCTGGGGTGTAAGGATGTAGGAGACTGCATTACACCTGAAACACTGACAAATATAATGAATGCACTTTTTGTGTTGTGCATGTTCTTTAGTGTGCAGTAGATAGCAGCCCCCCCGGACCCTGTATGCTAGCATAGGGCCTTGCACCTCTAAAGTCCTGGAGGCAAGTACCAACAGATATCCTGATCTTTCTGGTTATTACCCTATGCACCTTATTCTTTGCAAATCAGATTTCCAGGCACTGGCAGCCCTGTAACATCATTTTTTCCCACAGAGCTTTAAAGTAAATGTAAACCCAGAATTTGTTCTCTTAATCATACAATACAGGACACAGGAGCTGATTCTTGGACCTTGAGTTATGTGCCACTACCTTCAGGTGATTGGGCACTGGCAAAAGCTTTCCTGGGAACAGACTCCTGAATCAAATGTATGAATCATATGCTCATTGCTTACAATGATTCCATCCGATACAGTAATTCTAGCACCAGACCTCCTCTGTAAACCTAAAGTAACCTGTAAAGGCTTTTAAAGCGCATTGCCTATGGATAGGAAAATTTAACATCGGTTGTCGCCGCTGCATGGGCAGTTTTAAAGCGTGACATGTTTGGTATCTATTTACTCAACGTAATGTCATCTTTTATATTTAAAAAAAAAAATGGGTTTTAAAATCAAATTAAAAAAAAGTGTATTTTTTCAAAATTGTGAAACCTGCCAATTTATTCTCTAGGGCCTCTGCATTAAAAATGATTGTTACATGTAAACAAAGTTCCAGGGAAAAAAAAAAAAAAATAATAATAAAAAAAAAATATATAATATATATATAATACGCACGCACGCACGCACACACGCACACACACACACACACACACACACACACTTAGTGAATGGGTCATCAGGCTGCGTAAGTGGTACATTGTGCTAACCTGGCTATTGACACACATACACCTAGGCTCGTTGTGACTGTGTACTAAGCAAAAACCTGTATTTAGGGAATATGAAGAATACTATTGGTGGCCTACTCCTGAAAATGCTATTTGTCTGCCTGTCTCAGACTTAATACTTACAACATCACTTATATGGAACAATTAGTTATCGTTGTGCATATTTGTCTTCAAACAGTTTAAAGGATAAGTTCACCTTTTGGACAAAAATAATAAATGCACATTTTTTTTTTTTTTTTTTTTTTTTTGCAGGTAAAAAATGTGCATTTTATTATTTTTGTCCAAAGGAGCCTGGAAAGCATTGCAGCAGTGATCAGTAGATTGCTGATGCCATGCACGTCTCCTCAGCCCTGTCAGAATATCTGCTTGCCGTAAGGGATGCACGGTCAAGCAGATATTCTGATAGGAAGCTTCAATGAACTACCACGGCCCTCCAGAGCACCATGGTAGTTCATTGAAAACTATAAGCCAACAGCTGCTAAGGCTGATGGGACTTGTTGGCACTCGTTCACAGGATACTGTCAATGAGTGACATGGCCGTGTGGGTGGAGCCTTGCACGGCCGTGCTGTTTTCAAATCTGACAGTACGGGGAAGTTTCTCCGTACTATCTGTCAGAAGGAGGGGGTGGAGGGCACAGCTGCAGCTATGGGAACATGATACATGTTCCACCTTATAAAAAACGGGTGGAACATGTAACATGTTCCGAAGGTGAACTTTGCCTTTAATCTAGTAGTGCTTTCACACAGGATACTCCTTTTACTAGCTTCTCTACATGGAAGGAAAGAGACTGCCGGTGCCAATTATTATGTAACTTCCTCTTTGGCTAGTGATCTCATAATATGGTTAGTCACAGAATTAGCTGCATTTCTGACTCTGCACTCTGTTTCCTAACTTCCCATTGACATACTTTGTACCCCAAGATGCTGTACCAGCATCCGTCAAAGCAGAAGTTGTTTAAACCTCGTTATGTCCCAACTGTTTAACACTGTCTGACTCTGGAACAACCAATGAGTGTTCAGAACGAATTGCCAGTATAGTAACAAGGACTATTTCTGAAATCTGTGTAAACACTTTGTATGCTGAAAATTTCAGAGTTCTGTGTGCCATTTGTCATCAGTGTATTGGGGATGTTATTAAATCTGATACATTTAGCTAAAAAGGCTTTCAAGGCAAGAGTTGGGCTCTCTTTACTTACAGAGAAGGCTGTTCACAAAACATTGGCTCCATCTGGACTCTTATATTATTATTATTATTATTATTATTATTATACAGTATTTATAAAGCGCCAATAGTTCGCTCAGCGCTGTACATTACAAAGGGGGACAGAACATGTGACAGAACAATACCAATACAATGCAAAACATGAGGGGATCGAGGGCCCTGCTCTTTCGAGCTTACAATCTGGTAATTGCTTGCTAGAGAATGTGTTGCCATAGATGTGGTAAAACCTCCCTTAGCAACCTGACCTCCTTAGCTAGGCTGGTTCCAGATCTGGGCTTCAGAAATCATGCAGCCCTGATAGCAACTCAGTATCATGTATGACATTCCTATAAGCCAAAGGCAACCTCTTGAAAATGGATTTAGGAGAGTCCAGTTAGTACCTTTTTTTATGAGTGTTCATATTTTTTTTTATTTTTTTTTTATTTTTTTTAAATTCTGTTCTCTAATTTTTGCTTTTCTATTCTTTTGTTCAGCAATTGAATTGAACTGCATGCTCTAAACACCAGACCATCTTCTCTTTCTGCTTCACACAGTGCCTAAAAGTCTTCCAGTACTATCAGTTCACCTTTGTTAGTCTTTTGTTCGCTCACTGAAACCTATTTTTTTCCTTTGAGGTTTTCTTTATTTGTTTGCATTGTAGTCCATGTTAGCCATCCTATCATCTTCAGTGCTTCCAGGCTTAAAACACTCCATTACCAGCATTGTCTATAGCAGCACACTTGAATATCAGTTGTCCTCTATTTATCAAGCCTTCTGAAATGGCTTGGCACAATGCGTGATGTCCCTGATCCAAAAATAAAGTAATCTTAAAGTGTATATAAACCCTAGCAATTGTATTTGCCCCTTACTGGTGTGCTAAATATACAGTTGAAAGTGTTTTTATATCTGTTCAATAAGTGCAAAAAAACCTGCTGATCCTGCCAGATATAGTGAGCTTTCTAATTTGCTGAATTAAAAGTGAACCCAGCTGCATTGAAATCTCCCAACAGTCTGACCAACCTTGCCCTTGTTACCTCTGCAGGCTACAGAACACCCTCTTCCCTGTTTTATGAGGTTAAGAATAGAAGGTATACTGTATTCAAGATCAGGAGTGGGCAACCCAAAATGCTGCTTCTCCATAAAGTATAGTGAAGTGAGCAGTCACCCCAGGGCAGGAAATGTTACTGGCAGTATAGCCCCCCCCCCCCGAAAAAAAAAAAACTGATGCAGCCAACACATCTAAGAAATGGTATGCTGAAGAGTAGAATATTTTTGTTCTTGGGGTTATGCTGGCCATACATGGGTCGAAATTCAAATGATTTTTCGTCCGGACCTGATCCTAATGGATCAATGGCAGCGGCCGATTTTCGTGGTTCCTCCCCTTTTCGGTGATCAGGCATGTTGGAAAATTTGTGAAAAACAACCGATTTCGACTCAATGATGGTCAAATCGTACGATTGTTTTTCCTGAAAAGAATATGCACATGAGCCGTGACCTGGTAGGAACAGAAGTCTCACTTGTTATATGGGGTGAACTTTATGACTTGGCCGGCCAATTTTCGAAATCATTGATGGCACCATCGGATTACCAAGCGAACAACGTTTTCGGACGAAAAATCGTTCGGAATTCAACCCATGTTTGGCCTGCATAAGATACACTTTAACTTTGTAAAAAGAATGCTGTGATCACTACATATGCAGCTGTTGGAGAACCTGACATGGGCTTAACAGGCACTACCTGTATAATCCATTTGTCTAAAACAGGATCTGTAACATTGCAAATGTCTTCTGTCACTTTTGTGCAGGTTTTTGAAATGTTCCAGCATACTTTTATTTGCAAAAGTAGCATTTATACTTTTTTTTTTTTTTTTTTTACATTTCCTTTTTCAACAAACAGCCTGGCCTTTATCTATTCATTGGTCTAATTACAAATATAGGTCAGACTGCTGTATTACTGAAAGGTAGATACTGTAGGCCAGACTCCACTTAAAATCAGGTCTGCTGTTTTCATGTAGAGGGCCAGCTCTAAATTAGCCATTTTTTGTAAATAAAGCATACCATTATTTCAACAAAAAAAAAAATATATTTCTGAAGTCACAGATTCTTTAAAGCAAAGTCTATGTCGAACTATTTTCGATTCGGGTGGACTCTGACATGTAATATAGGCCAGTTGCTTCTGTCACTCCCTGACCCTGCTTTTGAAATCCGTCTGCTGGAATCGTCTCACTATGGCTGTTGTAGCCATTATGGTCTTGTTGCTTTCTTGACTAGATGAGGAGATTCTGCTTGTTGTGTTGAATTCACACAAGGAATGAATTGTGACTTTAGTGAATGTTTCTGAACGCTTAAATCTGCCAACCGCATTGTAATGGCTACATTGGAGAGTGATGGACTCTGGTGCAGAGTCCGCACTGTTAACACCCCGAAGATAGAAGCATCTGTTGTATATTATATTGTGTCCACGCACCCAAAACTGAAATCTTTGGATATGGCTTTAACTATGTGAATGTGGAGCTTCAATGAGCACATTTGTCCTAATGTCAGCTGATAAGATGGGATTTCCCCTCGCTTTGAGATCTCTTGTTTACTGCTTTCCCTATAAGAGTCAAGTGAGGTAAAATATCCCCAACAGTGACAACAATAAAAACGTAATAAAGGTTCTTCCCAACCCTTTCCAACTTTTTGCAAGATTAGAAACCCCCCCCCCCCCCTTTTGTTTTCCCTTATGTCTGTCCTGCACTTTAATGAAAGAAGTCTTCTGTAAAGGGATATTTCTAAAAGAACAGCATACTTCTCTTTCCCACTGCCCATGCCGCCAGAATGCTGCTTTTTATCCTGAGAAATGGCCCCCTGAAGTCCACAGGTATGTCGCAATCTTTTGGGTCTCTTTTAGCTCTCATTGGTTTTTCCTGCTCACCTTCACATTATTACAGAGGACAGTGGTGATGTGGAGGGTAGCAGGAGGACTCGGTGATACCCAACGTACCCAAATGATCAACACTCCTGAGTGTGGCTGTTTCCTTCCTTGCAGACTTTGGTGGACCGTATTTCAAGATCAGAGAGGCATTTGGTGGGAAACGCAACTATGTAATGTTATTTTAAAGGAATCCCTTTAACAAGAAAATTTTGAAACTAGGTTGCTTAAATATTCAGCGCTAAATAAAGTTCTTTTCATGGTGGCTCCTCATCTGGTTTCTGTCTGGTAGCCGTTGGTTGGAAAAGAAATAGTGTTGCATGACTGCTGTTATGCATGCTGACATTTACAGCTCCATAAGTTTGCTATTTTCATGTCCTATTTTTTTTTTTTTTTTTTTGTGGGTCCAACATAACATAGATTTTAGTTTTTGGTTCCTATCTCAAATGAATGTCTTCCACCAATGAACCATGATCAAGCACCTGACAGACCATGTTCCATCTTGCTGATAATGGAGAAGTGATATTCTGCAAAAACAGGCTTTTTTTTGCTGTAACTGTTACTTCTAACCATACTAACAATAGCATGTCTTCTCTGCCACAAGTTTCCTGTGATTAGGAATTGCTACTGGTTCCTAAGTGCTTTCTTTTTAATTTTTCAATACTTTATGTCTGCTGTTCCATTTCTTTCTAATCCTCTAACCTCGCTGCTGTTTTCTTTCCTTCCCTCTGTCTTGTAGAGAGGTCTGAAGAATGTGTTTGATGAGGCTATCCTAGCTGCCCTCGAGCCTCCGGAAACTCAGCCAAAAAGGAAGTGCTGTATATTCTAAACTGTTTAACTGTTTCCTCCTCCCCTTTCTCTCAATGCTGCTTACTATGTCCACCTACTGTAGCAATTAAAATAATAACGACGAGCAGAAACTCTAATAAAACCGAGATGTTGGCAAAACCTGTGCGTCTTTCCTTAACAATCCCAACCTGGCATTAGTTGCTTGCCGTGCTATTACAAGGCAAAAATTGGACTCTCTTAACTGTTTCTTGGGTTGCCTAAGCATTTTATTAGCAAAGAAATGGTTAGCTTACATGTACTAGTCTTATAAAAGGTCCAAGGTATTCTTCATCTGCAACAAGTTATTTCCTAATCCTTTTCTGACCAGTATGATTGACAGCTTCACAGTGGGGTAGCCATTTTGTGGGCTTTCAAAAGTTACTCTAAAGGTTTCCAAAAGTTCACCCTAGAATAATTGTATGAACATGAAACAGCCTTACAACACATGTACCTTGATAAATGCACAGCACCATATTTGACCGGGTTCCATTTTCTAGCAATTTAGCATTGGAAGCTCCTGGCCACTTATCGGTGACTTCATGCAACTCATGCGTGACCTGTGATTGTCAAACCTGACTGTGAAATGCTTCCTCTGTGCCCTAATGCTGTCAAAGATGTAGTTGGCACAAGGTGCGCTGAACCATGGGTCACATAGTAACGTGGAGTGATGTCAAAGATGGCGCAATCCATTTCTCAAGTTACATGTGTCTATATGGCAGTTTAGTGTTCATTGAGTAATTCAAGGTTGAACTGCCACTTTGAAGTCTTTAAGAGTTGGAAGTTCTCTTCAGCGGAGGTCCTTGCTCTGCCCCCCGTTGTAAAAGAGGATTTCTCTTTCTCCTTCTTTGTTTGCCGCTGCGTAAAATAATGTGGATTAAAGCCGTGAAAGAGACTCTATAAAGTGTGGGTGTGGTAGAAGGGCAGGATCGGAGTCTCATGACCTAAGTTGCCTAGAGTTAAAAGAAGTCAATGGTTCATTTTACACCCATATAATGACCACAGGTGGATTTGCCCTTTAATCCACATTGAGTCAACTTCGTTTTGTAACTTCACTACGACATTGTATTGTTGAATTATGATTGTTTTTGTTTTGCCCTCAGTTACCAATGCCAGTTTCTAGTGCCCTGAGCAAAATGGCCATCTTCACTGTGTTAATAGCTGGTGCACCTTAACGCTGAACATGTTCTGGGTTGGATATCCTGACAGACATCCCTAGTCAAGAGAGTGCTTTGGGGGTACAGGGGGGGTTGAGGTTTAGTTAGATCACTTTTCAAATTAGTCTTTAATGCTTTACTTCATAGACATTTACCATTTTGGAAAGGGCAGGGCTGCCTGATCCCTTTTCAAACCCACAAGTCATTTGGCTGTGCATTGTAGTGATTAGTGCCAATCCGCGTTTGTGGTAGGTTTGAGAAAACATATTTTAACCTTCCCTTTTGAATACTGTAACTTTAAAAATCGTTTTTATTTGACAAAGCATTGTGTATTCTACCCTTCGGAAATGCAGTAAGATTTGCTGAGACTGCTGGTTTTGTGGTATGCTTAATGAAGAGTTACTTTCAACTTCTTTCTTTGTTGTACATTTTGACGTAGTCAGCAGGGAAGTCTGTACTTCTGTTTTTTCTTTGTACTTTTTTTTTTTTTTGTTTTATTACTTGCATTAATGGCTGATAAATGTGATGGTGTGCTTTCCATGTATTTTCTGCAAATTTGCCATCTGTGCCATACTCTTAGCCATTATTTACACTGAAAACTGTTAAGGATCTGGTCGAAGAGAAGCTAAAAAATGAACTGATTGGAGCCAAGGACTTTTGTTAATGCAAAAAGAAGAGACTTTTGTGCCATTATTTCCTTCACTTGACTCGGTCCCCAGTCTTGAGGAGCTCTTTTCTGACAGGGTCTTTATTCTTCTTGGTGTTCCTTTTAATTGTTGACATCAAATACACTGTTAATGACTTCTTATCTATTCCAAAAATACATATTTAAGTTGAAATCTCTTGTGGCCTCTGACTCTACCAAAGGTAATATTAGAGCTGTGCAAAAATGAAACCTGGGTTCCTAAGGGTAATCCATGGGTGTTAAGGAAGGTTTGACATTTTATGTTGACATTGTTTGGGAAGCTTTTTGTTTTTATTTTTACATTATCTGTTCTGAAATCATAAAATGAGACTGCCCATTTCTTTTCTGTTTGACCCTTTCCAGAAAGGCCTAAAGAATGTATTTGACGAGGCGATATTGGCCGCACTGGAACCTCCGGAGCCCAAGAAGAAACGCAAGTGTGTGCTGCTATGAAAACCCTTCAGTGGTCTCCCCCCTTCTCCAGAGCTGGTGTCGGCATCAAACTAAAACAAAACAAAACAAAAAAAAAAAAAAAAACATAAAATGTTTAAATCAAAACTAAAGATTAAATATAAACTTTTTAATTTTTTTTTTTTTTCACGTTCATGACAAAGGCCCTGAACTCCTCACCAGCCAAAAGCCAGTGGTGATATCTGAAAGTACAAGCCCAGCTACATTAAGTTTTGTAGAAAAGATTAGTTTGAGCAATTGTGTATCCACCAAAAAACAAACACTGATTATTGCTAGTTTTTTTTTTTTTTGTTTGTTTTTTTTTTTTTTTTTTCCTGTCTTTTTTTAATTTTATTATGTATTTACAGTTGCTAATGTCTTATATTAAAGAACAAGGCATGCTTCATCTATAACAGACTAATTTTAAACCTGTTTTATCTGTTCATCTCTTACATTAAGCTGATAGAAGACTCCATACACACATAGAAGCAGGCAGGCTGTCGATAAGGTGGTCTACACTTCCTTACTGTGTCACAGTATGGGGGGATCAGATCAAAGGCAATCACACAGACTCATTATTCCCTCAAATGGGCATCCCAAGCAAAATTACTCCTGATACTGAACAATAGAGAGACCCCATTAACCAACTTACAAAAATTACTGGGAAAAGCACAGAAAAAAATCAAGTATTTTTAATGCTTGTTTGCAGTGTTTTTTTTTCCCCTAAAATATTTTTTTTTTCCTTTTAATTGACTTGCAATGTGCCTCTGAAGTTGATAGGGAACTGACTCTCCAGAAAAAGTCAATTCCTTAGCACAGCCTCTCCCTCCTTGCAAGTCCTAGCCTTCTTTTTGTTGCAGTGTGTCTGATTACTGTCTGTTCTGGTCAGCTGCTCTGCCTCTCCCTTCACCTTCCTACATAACCTTCTATGTAGCTGCCAGAGAAGGAGCGAAGGGAAATACTATAGAGAGTCAGTGGAGTGACAGCCCTGAGCCTGCTGACATCACCTCCAAGATGGCAGCACCAAGTAGCAGTCTTGGGGCTACTGGATGTCTACACAAGGGAGGCTTTTACAGGTAAAAACATGCCTAAATTTTTGTTAAATTCATATATAAACATATGGGAAAATTGTTAATATGGTCTGGCAACAGGGTCTCTTTAAGGTCCTTTAGAAGAAGCTTGTTAATTTATGCAGAGCCTAGGGCACAAAGTTGAGGTTTTAGAAGACCCCTTTGCTCAGGGAAACGCTAAGAAAAGCTTTCACACTCTTTGCAGGTCAGTGACATTCTGTACTCTTAGCTTCTTTAATCGTCAAGAGACAACAAAGCTTTGCTGACCCTTTCCAACGGGACTTCCTGCTTTTCCCGCTTGGAACACCCAGCCCTAATCAATGTTTGAAGAAACAGAGAATTTATAAACTGACTTTTAGTCTGGACAGAGATATGATTGCTGCCGGTGCCAAATTGTTTTAATGTGCGTTCCTTGGGGCTAACCTGAGACAAGCGGGTATGTTGGGTAAAAGGGCACCTGATAAGCTCATGTTTGTTTCAGGTTGGTGGCTTGCTAATTGACACAAGGATAAGGACACAATGGTCATGGAGCATGCAGCTCCAGAAATATGGCGCTAATGGCAGCTGCACTTTCTGACCTGTCAAGTTCCCTGTAAAGGCTCATTCCCAGCAGATGCCATTGAGAACGCATGCAACAAATGCCTTAAAGTGCGTCTTTCTTCGCATTTTAGATTTGTACTTTCAAGAGACCTCTTTCAGTTGACTTGAACAGAAAAATGAAGGTCATTGCACCAAAAAATGCAGCATGCAAATTTGTTTTTGTATATTGCTATTATGCATCTTGGTGCACAGCATTGTTTTGAATTAGAAACCACGTCTTTCCTAACAGCCATGCGTTTTTTGTTTGTGTTGAAACAAATGTAGCAAAATGCTTGAATATTCTTCTAGCAGGAAGGAGCCCGAAATGTTTTGAAGTAAGGGACTTTGCAAAAATGCGCAAGTGAAATCTGCTAAATCCATAACAATGGTCTAGCGTGCCATTAAATCCTTTTTTTTAAATGGTAGATAATTCCTGTTTGGCCATGGTTTGGCAGGGTACTGTAGAAGAATATTTACATCTGCGTTCTCCTGTCTTTCTCTTGAATTCGTGGGTTTGATTTTTCTGCATTGCTAATATATGGTCAACTTTTAGTTCTGCCCCGTGTTGTACTGAGGGAGTGGTATTCTATCCTTTTTTCCCCAGTTAGTTTCATATTTTAAGGGACCAGTAAATATAATACCCCAGTGTACAGTTTTGCATGCATATAAACCAAGAAACCCTAAGGAAGGATTTCAGTCTCTAAATATACTGTAAAAAATAGACACCAGTGTTAAGGATTTTACCAAACCCACTTTTTCCAGAGGTATTTTTTAATATGTAGGGAAAGTATTCCATCTTCCCGAATGAATAACTTGTAGGCTCATTAGTATTGAACCAATGCTTTGTTCCATGTTTCAGTTCTTTGTATATGCATACTTTTCAGATGTATTAAACATAAAATATCTTCCGACTTGTGATTACCTGTTTTCTACCTAGTGTGTGTTTGTATTTTTTGTTTTTTTCTTTTGGGGCTTTTACAGTGAAACTTAAGGCAAATCTTTTTCAGGAACTTATGTATCATGCATTGCTTTTCTGTTACAGCTACGAACAGCTTCTAAGGAATGATGGGCAACTGTTGACCCCTTGCATGCTGATTGAGGGCAGGTCCAGCTAAAACATGGAGATGATCTTTTTTTATTTTATTCGTTTTTAACCAGAACTTTTTGGAAATGATGAAACATGCCAGCATTGAGGTGGCTAAAGCACAGAGCTTGATAATGGTGCACTAGATATGTGAAATGTGCAAGTTATACACAGAGGGAGGTGTTGATGAAGAGGTTTATGCACAAGTCACATACAGTGGGAGGATTGAGATGAAGGGGGTATGGTGCAGGGTTAATATACTAGTCAGATCAGAGGCAAGGTGGAGCTGACATATACTGTAGAGGGGTGAATGATGTGGTGTCCTGGTAATTGCTTGTAATCACTGGTAATCACAAAGCTTTCTTTCCTCTTTCACACCAATTGGTGGTACAGAGCCACTCTCATTGACTCCGTACTTTTTTTTTTTTTTGGTGTATGCAACCTGCACCGTTCAATAGGCACGTGCAATAACTGTACAGGTGAAACTCGAAAAATTAGAATATCATGCAAAAGTTCATTTATTTCAGTAATGCAACTTAAAAGGTGAAACTAATATATGAGATAGACTCATTACATGCAAAGCAAGATAGTTCAAGCTGTGATTTGTCATAATTGTGATGATTATGGCTTACAGCTCATGAAAACCCCAAATCCACAATCTCAGAAAATTAGAATATTGTGAAAAGGTGCAATATTCTCGGCTCAAAGTGTCCCACTCTAATCAGCTAATTAAGCCATAACACCTGCAAAGGGTTCCTGAGCCTTTACATGGTATCTCAGTCTGGTTCAGTAGAAATCACAATCATGGGAAAGACTGCTGACCTGACAGTTGTGCAGAAAACCATCATTGACACCCTCCATAAGGAGGGAAAGCCTCAAAAGGTAATTGCAAAAGAAGTTGGATGTTCCCAAAGTGCTGTATCAAAGCACATTAATAGAAAGTTATGTGGAAGGGAAAAGTGTGGAAGAAAAAGGTGCGCAAGCAGCAGAGATGACCTCAGCCTGGAGAGGATTGTCAGGAAAAGGCCATTCAAAAGTGTTGGGGACTTTCACAAGGAGTGGACTGAGGCTGGAGTCAGTGCATCAAGAGCCACTACACACAGACGGATCCTGGAAATGGGCTTCAAATGTCGTATTCCTCTTGTCAAGCCGCTCCTGAACAACAAACAATGTCAGAAGCGTCTTACCTGTCATACCTGGGCTAAAGAAAACCAGACCTGGTCTGTTGCTCAGTGGTCCAAAGTCCTCTTTTCTGATGAGAGCAACTTTTGCATCTCATTTGGAAACCAAGGACCCAGAGTATGGAGGAAGAATGGAGAGGCACACACTGCAGGATGCTTGAACTATCTTGCTTTGCATGTAATGAGTCTATCTCATATATTAGTTTCACCTTTTATGTTGTATTACTGAACTAAATGAACTTTTGCACGATATTCTAATTTTTCGAGTTTCACCTGTACGTCGCTTGTATGCGCAAGAGCAGAAGAAAAAAAAATTGGTCTTCCACCATGTAATTTCCCTCCCCGCTCTATCAATTTATATACAGCAGATGGAACGTGGTTAACCACTTTCCCCCCAGAGGCTTTACTCCCCCTTCCTGACCAGGCCATTTTTTTGCGATATGGCGCTGCATTACTTTAAATGACAATTGCGTGGTCATGCAACATTGTATTTAAGTGAAATTTGTACCCCCCAAATAGAGCTTTCTTTCGGTGGTATTTGATCACCTGTGCTATACTACTTCTGCTATAGGTCAGTTAGGAAGCGGTTAATGATTCTTGTTTCCCCTGTTGCTCCATTGCTGTAGCTTCCAGGGATTCCTCTTCTTTTATGGTGTGAACAATAGTTTGGCACAAAATGGGACCTTGATCAAAATGCCACCTGCCTAATTACGGTTCCTGCTGTGAAAGTGGTTAGTTTAGTTCAGCAAATTTATTTAGACAAAAGTGTTTAAGTGCTTGTATGTATAGGCAAAACGTCTTCCTGCCTCTGACCTTCCTGGACTGCAGTGATTAATAGTTGTGTCTTTAGGAAGTGCAGAACAGGGTGAGACAGTGTATTTACTGGATTTTAAACAATACATTGTAGGCACTTATTTTTAAAGTGGCCCTAAAGGCTAAAGGGTTTTTTTTGTACCTTCATTCATTCTATGCATGAAGGTAAAAAAAAAAAATCTTCAGCGTGCAGCTCCCCCTTAGCCCACCTTAATACTTACATGAGTCTGATCTCAAGCCAGTGATGTGCACGAGGGTAGCGGCTCTCCCTGGTGT